AAGAAAGGAACATCTCCCGAGACGCAAACGGCAACGACCCTCCAAGGTTGAAGTTACAAGGTTCCAAGTTAACTCCATTGTACCTAGTAGCCGAACACCATAAGCAAAATAGACCATGGGAGATATTTGTTGGCGTGAAATGACTCATATTAAACAACGAAGTCACGAAAATTCCATACTGACAGCTGTCAACAGAGTCTGGACCCCGGTGTTCGTTAGTGGTTTATACTTCCTTGGATCTTAGCTGAAGGTCTGTGTTACCGCCACCCCGCTTTGGGCCTTGAAAGGATCTTCAGCTTTTCAATTCCCAGCCTCTTCAGGCCGGTTGCATTTCTTGTGAGATTTGTGCCCCTTCTGAGACACGGGTTCTCTCCAAAAAACAAAGAAGCAATTGGATTCATCAATTCCTCGTCCCCGATCCCTTCGACTACGGTTTCGCCTTCCAATTCCTCTCTGAACCGAAGAGATGGGAAGCTACACGTTCCGATGGTAAGTTGAGCAACCTAATTGAATTCTGTGTGTTCCTCCGATCTGGGATTCCCACTCCATCCCACGGTCATCTGGGTCAAATTCGATGATTCCGGCCGTGTGTCCCGGATCTGACTCAGGCATCCTCTATTCGGAACATAGGTTGGATTGCATAGCTGACTGACGCGACTCCTGCATGGGAAATTAGGCCTCACCACGCGAGTGAGGTGTTTGTGACCGGAACCTTTGATGACTGGGGTAAGACCGTCCGACTCGATCGAAAAGGCGATATCTTCGAGAAAGAGGTTCCGTTACCTGCGACAGAGGAGAAGTTGCATTACAAGGTAAGGGACGAGACGAGTCTAACTTCTCCCATACTTGCTTACTACAACTACTACCACACCACTGTGCTCATCTCCCGCTTATTTTCTTCCCGAGACCTTCCCGCTCAAAGCCCGATCAGGGAATAGTATGATGTGATGTAGCCGTGGATCGTCTGAGCTTCCATGACGCTGGCCGCGCTCTTGCCGTGTTTCCCTGACGTCATTTGCCGCTTTCCTCTCAGGCTCCCATGGATTTCCCTCTTCTTCTTTCCCCGCTCTAGAAAATGCTATAAAGAATCTCATCTTTCACGTCAGCATGTCGTTGCATGGGATCCACTAACGTCCTCTATCTAAGTTTGTTGTTGACGGCATCTGGACAACCGACCACAGTGTTCCGGAAGAAGACGACGGTAACCATAACATCAACAACGTGCTTTATCCCGATCAGATTCGGCAAAAAGACACCACCTCGAAGTTGCAAAACGGCACTGCAGTAATGGCTGGCGTAGCCCCTGATTCTACAACGGCTGCATTGGCTGCCGAAGTCCCCAAAGAGTCTCGCAAGGATATCCTGAGCGATACTGCCTTGTCGTCTGCCGCTCCTGGATCGACTACAGCAGAGCTCGCCAAACATGCCCCTCTCGAGCAGCGAGCGAATGTCCCTGGGACGTTCCCAGCGACCCCACGATCGGAGGTGGAACAGTTCTCGGTGAATCCCATTCCCGCCTCGAGTGGCATGGGCAACCCAATCAAACTAAAGCCAGGAGAGAAGGTGCCTGACCCGAGCACATTCAACGACAACACAATCCACTCTACCGCCCGGACAGACCAAGCCGGCTACGAACAGGATGCCAGCCATCCATTGAATGGGGGCCAGTCTAAAGATACAAGCGCATTTAATCTTCCCCCGGTCTCGAATAATATGATCCCTGAATCTAGCCTTCCCATGGGCGAGGCCAGCCAGGGGACTTCCGACCCTGTCACTATTCAGTCCGCAGCGCCGACATCCACTACTGCAGCTCTTGCTGGTGCTGTTCCCCTTGAGTCTCACAAGAGACAGACCGATAGTGGCACTGGCGCACCTGTGGGCGATGTTCCGGAAATGGTGAGGCACTCAATGTCCGAGGCTCACGCAGATCCTGAAGCAGCTGCTGTTCAGGAGGCTGTCGGAGAGAAGAAAGAGATGGAGCATGAACTTCAGCAGAAAGTCCCGATTGATGAATCGAGAGGCACACCAGCGCCCACCACTGGTGTCACTGCCGCAGCCATTGAAACTGCCCCCCAAGCCACCCTACCACAGCCTGATTCGGCACAGCTATCGCCGCGGGCGACAACTCCAACGAGGCCTGAAACGACTTCCGAAGCGGGCCCGACCGTTACGACTGGGCCTGAGACCACCAAGACATCTGAGGTGTCGGGACCTGGCAGTGGCACAGCTGCCGCAACGGCTGGTGATACCGGAGCGAGTGCGACCAAGACCGCCGAGCCGACACATCCTCAGGATACCGGCGTGGGGAAACCGAGTACTCCACCCAAGGACACGGATCGCAAGGATTCTGGATCTTCGAGTGGTACCCCATCTCAGAAGAAAAAGAGGAACCGCGCCAGTGCATTCTTCCATAAGCTCAAGGAGAAGCTCACCTGAGCTCATACCCTGATGGCCAACCGTACACTCTTGGCCCGTACCCTGGAACGATTCGTTATTATTACAGTTACGATCATGAGCCGGCAGCCTGAATATTTCAAGACTGGTGGGCGGAGGTGTTGCTTGATTCTTGGTCTGGATGGATACCTTTGTGTTTTGTTGTTTTGCCCGTATGACTTTATACCTACTCTGCTGTGCACAGTTATTGTTACGAGTAATAGTATAATTTAAGACTAGTGTTCAAGATTGATTGTCGTTCATCGTACTAAGGAATCGCTTCTCATTCAAGTCATTAAAATTATAGTCTACACTCAGCCCCTATCAAATGGGTATAGCCTCACTGACTCTTTGATTCAACGTAACTGGATAACCCAGCATACTGTAAGTAGCAAGTCAGTGGGAACCATCCCTCAAGAAAACCCACCACGGTAAAGACAGGACGAAAAAAGAAAAAGAAAAAAAGAGCAAACTCACTCCTTTCCCGTCTTCGTCAAACAACAGCCACAAAAGATAGACGCAGGATAACAAATAATCTGCACCCAGTGCATCAGTACTCATATTCCATCGGAAACCAACCAATACAGATACGAATGGGTACGGTACATACCGCCGCAACAATCGTCACACAGAACCCTAGACCATTCATTAACCATTGATCCTGGTACATGTATAGCAGAGGATATAACAATATTAGTCTATACCTAATGTTGGACCGAGGACTTTACAGCGACAGGGGTTCTGGTCCGTGCCGCATTGGAAGCAAATAGGGAAGATCGGGAGGAAAGGGACGTCGCACATGATTAGGATCGGTTTATCGTAAGATTATCGGAGTATGAATTGGGTTTTCTTTTCTTGCTGAAGGGTGTAGATGATGGTTTTCTACTACTGACTACTTCTACTACGAGTACTGGTGCTTGAGGAATGATTCATGATGACGACAGTGGTTGGCATGTAACCTTAGATCCAATATCTTCTTCATCCGTAAGACCACTCTGTTTTCTCTGCCTTTTGGATCCTTTGTCCTTCAATTCTACATGGTGTTTGGAAACTGATGTCACTACAACATATTCTTTCTCTTTTCTTCTCTTCTGAGCCTTCAAGGCAAGTGATGGTGCTTCATAAATGGATCATCTCACTTCCCCGCTGTCTAGGGGTATTGATGTGAAATGGGAAGGGGTTCACTCAAAGACGTTTCATCCCGACTTTGGTTCAAGTTACATCTCGTATAGATACTAGGTTCTAGGTATCAGTCCCTGTCAGTTTTTAATATAGTTAGCTCAGAAAACAAGGCAAAGAAAAAAAATGGTATAGATTATCTCAGCAATAGAGACCAATGGTTCAGAGTCGACCTTGCCCTTCCGCCCCTGGGCATCTTTACGCCTCCTTTTCAAAACAATAGTGCGATAGCTGGAAGACGTTCGAGAATATATTTCACCAACGAATACAACAAACCGAATAGAGAATCAAGTTAAGCCAATCCTTTCCTTACAAGCAACCTCATTGTGGCACATTACACGGACTCACAGCGTGGTCGCTGGAAGGAAGACGTCGACCCGGAGTTTTTCGATGTCTGTATCCGTCACCCGATCAACTATATCGCGCAGGAAAATTATGAGCGACAACTATATTACTTTGAATGCGAGGAGATCATTTTCCATGATGAAAAGGTAGACAAGATATGGGCAATAAAGGGGAGTGGCTTCATAGATGGACTTCCAAAACAAGTATCTGTCATGATTCGGAAAGGAAAACACCGGGTTGCATAGTGCGGTCAACCATAAAATAAGTAGAGCCTGGTCGCCATGAAAAGAGCTTGAGACGATTCAACACGAAAACATATCATGCCTCCGAAAGGTTAGCTTCGATTTAGATCCAAGCTTATGCAATCCGTTGTCTTGGGGAGAGAATTATTAGTCTCCCATCTTCGGAGCTGGCTCCCTTCGATTGCTCGATGGATATAAGGTCCAAGGATTTTGGGGCTTTCTGGCACAGATGCCCCTTGAAATGTAAAGCATGCATTATCATCTAGGCATTATGAATAAGCATATGTGTATAAAGCCATGATTCGACACTCTACTTACGATGATATGCGGAAGGATCCACTGCCCGGTTGTTGTACTGCTTCAATGATCCTCTTCCGTGAACTAAACCGCGCCTTTCCCAGGCATTTGGGAACACAGCCTTGATTATTACCTCGTCAAAGCCAATGTCGATCTGTATAGTCGCGTCTTGCTGATTAGAGCGCGGGGAATCAAGAGCCCTTTGCTTTTATCCGCTGATATGCGGAAGATTCGCAAACGAAGAGATTCACTTCATATTCAGGGGGATCCCATTCAAATGGGCCTTTGTCGAGATACTTAAGTAGGCTAGCAAGGCATTAGTAATATATAGAACTCACTCACCACCTTCATCACACATGATCTTCCGCGAACATTAACCTTGAAAACAGCAGAATTCTTAAACTCGTTCAGTGTTTAGAGGATTGTCACATCAGAAGGTTTCACTTCATCAAATTCATCGGCCATTTTGGTGCGGTGTGGAATAAGAATATACACAGGGAACTTATGGTCGACTTGTAATACTAGAAGAAAGTGGAAGAAATACATTCTCGGTGGGTTCTTCTTGCTAATTCTCTAACTAGGAAAAGATTTATCCAGACTACTCAGATCAAATTATTAGAATCTTTCTTACTGCAACGTAGAGGAGGGTAAGTTAGACTTCATGATTGAAAAGAAATCGAAAGGGAAATAACAAAATTTAGGCTTCTACATTAAAGTAGATATAAAAAGACCGCGGCTTGGCTTCTTCAGTGTCAGTGTCAATTAAATGAAATGAAATCTAGAACCAAGACTAGTAACCTCACAAGCCACACACCATTAAGAACACCAACACAGCCACTCCCACAATCCAATGCAAGTGCCTAATCAACGATCCAATGGCAATCAAATCCCTCAACCAGGGGCCCTGACAAAGATGACAAGTAAACTCACTGTAAATATGACAACCTCGGCACACCCAAACGAGAACAGGACAGGAGCAAAAAAGGAGCGCTAAAAGTAGGCATCAATATTCTTCATATTCGAATTTTAACCCCGCCCCGCTTGCCAACGCTTGGCAACTCGCAAAGGCATTTGGCTACTGTTTGGTTCAGTCTCCCCCATTCCTTGAATTTTTCTTTATTTTTCTGATTTGTCACCTTGGGGGGTGTTTTTTTTTGGTTTGGTTTGGGCCCTTGTTCTATTTCTTTACCCTCGAAACGAGAACCCCAGACTTATAAATAGTGCATCGCAAGGCACCATCCCAAGGTCACGATTCAATCTTTTTTGGTTCTTAAGCCACGCCGCCACTGCACCTGATCCACTCTTTCCCTCCCGCTCAGCCCTACGCCTTATTTGATTTAAGAAGGCGGACGAACCATTTCGTCTTATCCTGCTTTTCTCGTTGAAGTCACTGCCGTGAATACTCTGCCTACACAAGGTACCCAATCGATCGCATTCCAAAACAACCAACCAAATCACAACCCAACCCGAGAATAAAGAAAGAAAAAAGAAAGAAAAAAGAAAGAATATGGCCCGCGGCAGCCTCGTCCCCCTCATCGTCCTCGTGGTCGTCGTGACCGTTCTCGCCGTAATCGGGTACATCACCTGGTCGATTGTGCAAGAAGTAACGCGCAATACGAAGTCCAAGATGGAAAAGAAGAATGTGGTATGGACGAAGGACGGCATGAAGGTCGGAGTGAAGGAGATAAATAATGAGGATTATCAGGATCGGACCCAGAGGTTTGTTTTTTCCTTTTTTTTCCCCCTACCCCTTATATTCTGGGGTTGATTTTCTTTGGTCCTTGGTTGCTAATCGTGGGATAGTGTTCTGGTGAATATGTGGAATCATACTTCGTTTCCTGCTTATAAGAGTCGGTTGTGGAATATGACGCAGCCGGCGGCGGAGGTACAGGAGGCGGAGAGGAGGAGAGGGTATGTATTAGTTCTATTCTCTATTCTTTGGGGGTTTGATTGAAGGTCTTTGCTGACGGGTAGTGGATTTAGGTGGTCGAAGTAGATTTTCCTTGCCTTTTTCTTGAGGCGCACGCACATGCTTTCAGGTGTTTGTGGGCTTGATTATACCGACATCGTGATTTTATATCGTTCATGCCTTCTGTTGTGATACCCATCCTTTGGTGTGAATCACCTCAGAATGATTTTACTCTTTTATGATCTTCGCTCTTGCCAGTTTCATGTCATTTCTATTCTATTCTATCATTTCTTGGCCATGATGATACGATGTATGAACGAAGAAAACGTTTATGAATACAAATGAAGCGAATACCACTGACATATCTCATGACCATGGCCGGTTCGCGTAGTAGCTCTCGTCCTGATTCAGCAGGTAGAACGGCTCGGGCTTTGGCTCCCAACTATCGCCGTACCATACAGGTTTGCGGAGAGTCTCTGGCGTGTCCTCGCGCTTGGTGTTGGAGAAGACATGCTCGAAGGTCTTGGCCCACTGCACGCGATTATTGAGGCCCTCCAGTTCCCAGAGCTCCTGCAGGAAGTGCAGCATGGATGTGTGGGTGTACGCGGAGTTGTTGGCGTACATGGTGCCGTCGTTGTGGATGAGGGTGTTCGGTTCGATATATGGCGAGATAATGAACGCAGGAACGCGCACTCCAAGACGAGTGAAGTCATACGTAACGGGGCGGCCTTCTGATTCTCCATCGAACCCGATGCCATCTTCAGGCTGCGGAACGTTGACGGGCGGCGGCACATAGTCCGCAAAGCCTCCGTGCTCGTCGAAGTTGATGATGATCAAACTATACAGTTGGTTAGTTATGACATTCGAAACGACACATGTAATTGAGTCGTACACATTATCCCAATATTTGGATCTCCGAACTGCATCGTATAGGTGCTTGATCATTTGCTCACCAGCTGCCATGTTGCTCTTCGGGTGCATCGAATCTATGCTGCAACATTCAGGGTTGATATAAGAAAATGCTGGTAATGTGCCTTCCTCCAGATCACGGTAGAAGTCACTGGCGTGGGCCAAATTGTCTATCGCATTGTCTTGGACCCACTGTGGATGGTTAGCTGGCTTTTGTACATTATAGTAGATGGCATTTTCCTACCTTGTACATCCACCCATCAATAATATCGGTTTCATAGTACTGGAACAGCATTAGCTATTGGAGACCTGAAAATAGTGAATCATATTACATTTTTCCAGCTGATGTTCTTGTTGCTAAGCGATTCGAAGATTGAAGTCGCACAAGTAGTGCCGGTTACGTTGTTGAAGAACCCTGCGGCTTGGTCTGTATTGTCCACGTATCCACAGGTCGAGCCTGAGGTAGCAAATTGACGGTTCGGGTTGGTAGGCCCAGGGTGTTCCGCAAACTGTTCCGTCAGTCACGTCCACCAGCGAATGTAGGTTGTGGAATGTCCTCACATAGGAATCCCAGAACGCGAAATTCTGGGCAATCTCAGCAAGAGTCGAGGACTTCTTCTCATCATAAGCCTTGATGACAAACGCCGACTCTCCTGGGGTCGCATGGTATTTCTCTGACTGGCGTTCGATAAAGCCCCCCATGTTAGGGACGTCGTCATTTGTTGCATTCCATTTCCGGTAGATTTGATATGTCACCCCGGCGAACTCGTGATCCGGATCTTCCAATGGCACTTCCGTCTCATAGGGCCCGGCGCATATATCAAGAGGCTCGTCCCAAACTGTCCAGTTGGGGTTGGTGTATTCGTTGCAGTATTTCCTATTGCGTAGGTTGTCAATATCTGGATGAAAGTCCCAATATCCGGCGATGTTGGAAAAGGAATGGTTTTCCATCATCAAGTAGACTACATGTTTGATCTAATAAATTAATTTTCGTTTGGTCCTGGAGACAGAGATGATCAACGTACGTTTGACCGAAGCCGGCCCCAGACATCTTTGTGGGCTTCATGAGGTAGAGCTGAAGTAACTGTTGCTAGTGCTAGGATCAACCAAGTCCACTGCATCTCGTCGTTCGTTTCTCAACATCGCAAGCCCCTATCGCAGGGCTCGACGCGCGATATTTATTCCCCATACCGCATGGTATTGAGTCGCGCCCACCTGTAGGGCGTCACATTCCAGAGCAAAAAAGGACGATCCACCTTTCATTGTCAGGATCTATTCCCCAACAGAAATCTCGGTAGGAGGAATCATCAGGAAAGGCCAGCTGCAGCCAGTCCATGCCATGTGAGACATCACTGTAACATGTTGATCAAGTGGAAGAGTGCTACGGCGGTCTCCGAAGGTCGTGCGAGGAGTTGCGGGAACGGGATAGAGCGGACGGACCCTTGCGTCAAAAACGAGAACTATTGCACTAGCGAGTATATTAGTGGGGTACCACCGCGTCAATAATGCAATGTGTCCCTTTGGAATTCTCTGATGCTCGATCGAGTATGTTGCAAGAACTCAGTACTCCATCGGACTAGTAGTCAGTAGCATCTGCAATGATGAACATGCAGGATGCAAGGACAAGTTCCGTCTCACGTCGGCATCCGTTGCGCTGTGGTACCCTCGGTCAGCGATCAGACTAATTGTTCTGCTGTGGATCAGCCAGAATCCAGAGGTTAGATATGTCTTCAATATGATAGGCCCAAGGTACTGCTCCGATGGGCCCTGGCGAAGGGAGGACTAAGCCTGATGTGGGATAGCTGCCTGAGTCCAAGCTTTCCAGGCACCCCACCGGCTTCCTCTGGGGATTTGGACGAATCACGTCCCCACGTGCCAAGAGATCCCCTCATTTGAGGCAAATGACCGCCTCTTCACTTCATGCACGTTGTTGGTCATTCTCCCTTAATAGGCTCTGTGGCAGGTGACACTGGAGCGAGTCGGCACAAGCTCTTCTCAAATGTGCACAATTCCCACTCGCGGTGGAGCATACCTTCAATGCTTGTTACTGGGGTATATGTCCCGTGGTGCTCTCATTTGATCAGATTCTCTCGCTCCTTATCGGAGGTCCTCTGTCGCTGATGCTTCACTGTGACACTAGAGAATAGTGCGATCCACTAGGAATAGAGCATTTTTACCTACATAATTATATAAACCCGTCTTCCCCTCAGTGTTCCCGACATCACTTGACTCTCTTTCGAAAAGTACGCACTGTACATAGTCCTAATATTCGAGGTCGTCACACACCACCATACGACCATGTCGATTTCCTCCATCCGGGGACTCCTCTCCAGCTACTCCCCCGTCTCGGAATTCTCGCCGGACTTGGAGAAGGAATACCAACTGCCCCTTCGAAATGAATCGTCGAGCGACCTTGAGTCTTCAGCCGACGAGGCAAAGTTTAGTCGGCCAAAAACGGAGAAAGCGGACTCTAAAGTCATCGACGGTCGACTGGTGTCAGATGCCATCATCGGTCTTTCCGACGGTATGACGGTGCCCTTTGCATTGACTGCTGGGCTGTCTGCGTTAGGAGACACAAAAGTTGTGGTATTCGGTGGAATGGCCGAACTAATTGCGGGTGCCATATCCATGGGTCTAGGAGGATATTTGGGAGCAAAAAGCGAGGAGTAAGTAGAACCAGCATGATCTGAAAGGCCGCTTTCACTAATATGTCTGTGTAGGGAATCCTACCGCGCCACACTAAAAGAGACTGAAAGCCAAACTATGACGGATCCATCCGGGGTGACTGACACAATTTCTGATATCTTCGCGCCCTACGACCTTCCTCCCCACCTCGTCTCCGAACTCACAAGACATCTTTCGACCTCCCCGATGCTACCATCCTTTCTCATGAATTTCCATCATACCCTTCAAGAACCTTCCGGATCACGCGCCTTTATCTGCGCTCTGACAATCGCCCTGGGCTATTTCATCGGTGGCTTCATCCCGCTACTCCCTTACTTTTTGTTGGGCCCATGATGCTTTCATTGCGCTGCGTTGGTCTATCGCTACTATGGTCGTGGCGCTGTTCCTGTTCGGATATGGCAAAACTTGTTTCGTAAGCGGTTGGAAGGGCAGTCGGAATGTTCGACGCGGACTCATAGGTGGTTTACAAATGGTCTTGGTTGGCGGTGTTGCAGCGGGATCTGCTATGGGTTTGGTCAAGGGTTTCCAGTTAATGGCCTCTGGGGGTAGTGATGGAGGAGAGCAGTAATACTCCATCTACACCTTTTGCTAATATTTCTGTGACTTGGCTTGGTTTCGGCGTTATGGGGTAAAAAGGCATTGGGTATGGTAAATGGGGCGCAGGGACTGGGTATATATATTCATAAGAACTTGGAACTGTAAATTCAAACATCAAAAGAAAAATAAAAAGTTCAAAACGTTTGCCGAATTTCTTTTGCAGTTTTATTGATTTCCAACGAACATCCCTCCTTGCTTATCTTACACAGCCAGAAACCTATCATTCCCACCCATCAAACTGCGCGAAATTGTTGAATTAGGAATTCACCAAAAGAAATGAAGGGCTGGTTCTCTATATATGCCACGATCGAAATGTCAGAGCCTCCCTCCTCTATCTCCTCTCTTTCCACTCTTTCCTTAAGTGCCTGGAATTCCGCCTCCTTATTATCGATCTCCTCCCTCAATGAACTCCATAATGATGAATGCTCCCAGACCTAGCGGGTTCTCATTACTGAGTCCCCATGCTATGATCGACGGTACAGGGATATTCGATCCCTGCACTCCCATATAAAAGATATCTATCTGGGGATCTTACGTTCTGTAGGGAATACTTGATTGAGAAACTATTAACATTAGTGGCGTAACTATAGGAACTAAGATGGCTAAAATACTTGTTATATCTATTTATAAATATTCTTACTTATGTGTATTCAATATATGGTTGCTATTTATCCGGCCTTGTTACCGGGGTATTAAACCAAGGTCAACTTGCCAGTTTTCGTCTCCTTCAACTGTCATTCAAACGTCCGTATTCGTCCAACACAACAGCCCCTCAGTTTCGCCTGAAGTCTTTCCAGTTACATATAGAGACTATAAGTCTGGCTCGAACTATTTACGGCGATTTTGCAAATATATTACCGTCTGCGCATTACGATAGAACAACGACTAGATATAAATGTAGCACCAAACGACGGCTATAGAACTCCAAAAACTGTCAGTGCTAAGCCAAAGCTCTTTTCACCAGAGCAAGATTCTGGATCGCCGCCAGACCATAAAGCGACGAAAGATTGGTTGATATCCAGTTCGCTTCCTCAACATTCACTGGGACGAGACATCCAGTTACCGACCGGCTGACCCATGGCAAATCTGGCGCATAACCATCAACATTATAGAACTCCTTCCAGGAACGTTGCCCTAAAACCGAATCTTCAAGCCTATTGGCCGCATATGCTGTCAAACGAGAATGTCCCTGGCGCAATATCAGATTTCCAAAACCTACTCCGTACCGCTGTGACTGTTCCTCTGCGGTGGCATTGAAATACAGACAATAATCAACCCATGCTTTCTCAAAACCGCTCGGTAAATCACTTCCTAGGCAATTGACAAGCACCGCACAGATCTCAAACAGGCCGAACATGGCGGAAAGATGGGAGATTTGGACGACTCCTTGGTTTGATAAATCGTGAGAGGGAGGATGGATTTGCCCTGTCTGGGTGTCGTAAAGAGCCATCCCAGTCACAAAGCCATTGTGGAGCTGAGACATACCGGCCATGGACGATAACAATTTGCTTTTCGCCTCCTCCCAACCGGGTGCTCGTCTCTCCCAGGAGATGAACCATGCTGCTGCAAAGGCGGACCAATCGGTTCCCAACGAGATGGACACAGCTTCAACGGTAGGCTTATAAGACGCTTTGTTCCTTCGCACCTTACGGTATGGGTCTAGAGCTAAGAAAGTCTTTTCTGCATGCAGTGTCTCGTCTAGCAGCTCGCCAGTGCGCTCATCGCCTCCCATGAGGTAAAAGAAGATCCATCTATACAGGGCGTTCGATATGCGAGCCTGCTTACAACTATCGCTCCAATGCTGGACTCCGTGTCGGGTTCCAAGCCCCTTCCATGGCCCGATATGGTACACGTCCACCTCCCCTGTGTGCCTGGTAAAGGCTTCAGCCAGGCGGTATACGTCCTTCCTGCTCGTCCGCAAAAAGTATAACCAGAAGAACAAGTCAGGAGAGAGTTCGGAGTTGTCCCAGGCATAGCCACCTATATCATAGCACCAGGAGTGGCGGTCTCCGTCGTAAGTGTGCATGATGTCCCCATGATCCCAGAAGCCGTACCATCGGCGCTGAGATATCTGTGTCTTGTAAAACTCGAAAAGAAAGTCAAGGTTTCGGTTAATTTCCGCTTCTGCCGGGGTTGTATTCTCTGTGGGGACACTCCTTGACCAAAATGTGCCTAATACGCCTGTTTCTAGGATATACTCAGGGTCTGGAATCACCACCGGTGGGTTCCGCATATACTGTACCGAACTGCTTAGCTGTGCAGACGTGGGGGTATGGTCAAAGGCGAAAAGAAAGATCTCGTTCGTCCGTGCAATTCCAAAAGGCGTTCCTGTCCCATACTCCCAGTCTTCATATGTGATACGCAGGGCATCAAGCTCCTCGTCGTAGGTTTCCTGTCCCAGTCCGTCGTGATACGGGCGGAGATCCATTGCTTCTGCGGATGGACTGTACAACCACAGCGTGATTTCTCCAGTGGCTTCGGTGGCATTTCGAATATCTAAGCCGGTCGGGTATCGTTCCCAAAAATAACGCATTCCTAGCCCTAGACCTCCTCGAGTTGCACCGCCAAGGTATCCAAGCCCACCAGCTTGAGTACCGCCAGGAATATTGACCCAGCTGTGCCCTGCTGCAGTTCTTTTCTTCATAGTATATCCGTCTGGCGATAGTTGGGAAAGGCTGTAATCATTCCAGCACGGCACCCACTTCATATAATCTCCAACCTCGTCAAGCCAGGTATCCATAGGAGGAAGAGGTTCGCCGTTAATCTGAGCCGTGCGGACACTCAATCCTGGATTTCTGCGAAGACCGGTAACACCCTGTACGGCCTCCCCAAAAACGCCATCATCAACACCTGCAAAACGGACGTGCCGGTTGCAAGGTAGTTCATCTTTCAACGGAACATCAAACTGAATACCGATGCCCTTAATGAAGCTTGTTTGTGGATCTCCATCATACGTGATTGTATGGACAATCCGGATGGAATCTGAATTATAATATAGATAAAATCGCAGAATGAAAGGGATCCATGGTGATTGTGGGCGACTGTCAGTATCAACCGCACGGTGGTTTCCGCGCACGGTCAATAGAGCCCTTATGGGCCCTTCCTGGTCAATGTTTACATTTTCAATACTGCTCAGAAATTGGCGGTTATCTGATTTTTCTGTCTCCGTTGGAAGCGATGCTTTTGAGCGCAATATCAGTCGACCATTTTGGCCAATTGTCGTCCCATCATTCAGGACGATACTCTTGATTAACTCCGAGCCGGTGGTAGGAAAGACCACGCGGACCTTGCCAGTGTCAACCTCTATGGGTCCTGTACATGTATCCTGCTTTATCAAAATACCTATGCTAACAGACTCAAGGTGGTTAGGCGTCGTTGGGATTGCTTCCACTGAATAGCTGCTAGCCACGTCGGTGTCGGCCGCGAAGGCATGCGCGGTCCATTTGATTGACCCATCTGGCCAGTACGCGATTACCCATGATTGTAAAGCGATGGATCCATTCATATGACTAGAACAAGTGAACGTGGTTCTGTCAGGCCAATACTTCCCACGGGGCCAGGGGACGCCAGCAGTCGCACTAAAGTTATCTTTAATATAATGCCGTTCAAGGCATCGGAGCTTGACATCTTTGTTATTCGTCGACATACTATGCTATATCGCTCTCGAGTGACGTGTTACGATATAGCCCTGGGCGGCCGTCACTTTCAGTTGTCTAGGGTGGTTAATCAATTTGAAGGGTAATATCTTTTTGCCTTCTAGATGAGCCATCGACTCATTGTCGAAAGAGGGTTCCCAATGTGTTCAATTTATCCACCAACCATAAACTGGAAGCTTATCAAGAAATCTTGCGAAAACCAGCTACTGGTTGATTCATAGAGCCAATTTGCACTAAGCGTTGGGGTGGAGGTGTCGGGCTATGGTAACAATCTGGTGAGCGCTGATGCCATACGCACTTACATGACGAGCAATGCTAACCGCAATTTCCTACACCTAGCCGTTGTTTAGTTCACATTTTATTTTCTATCCCTCGTTATTAGCCGTTGCCTGTCATTTTGGCATGAGCGCTCAGGCTAGATCTGTATGATACTATTATCATCTGGCTTACCGGGACAGCACTTCGTCAATTGCACCATCGAGCTCTGGGAGCACTCCATTCTTAATGACTATTGCCGAAAAGTACGACGGAGAAAAAGCATCACAGGCGATGTTAGCCATATTATATAACCGATACGTTCCCTGCTGGCATAATGCGGTCAACCAGTCCTCGTTTGCTTTACGCTGAGCCTGTACCGGTTCTCTTTGGGACTGTATCTACTGATCTCGGTCTAAGGAAACTACTAAGATGTCAGCTACATCGGATTCAAGTCATTTGAACGATAAAAATCGGCTAGGAAGCCCCCAACTTAACCAACATAAGACCGGGGATATCCAGAGCACTGAAGTGGCGAAAGACGGAACACATATCAATCTTGTCGAGCCAGAAGACGCACCTGAATACAGTACCTTCCTGTCCATCTTCTACTCCAAGAAAAGGTCGGTCGACCTCGATGCTATTGCTACTACGAGGAGTGTGTTCGATGATTCGAACCTAGCCAAATATTACCAGCCTCATCCGCAATACGAGAATTTACATCGATTTGACCCTTCTGAAAGATGGACCTACCGCGAGGAGAGATTGGTGCGCCGGAAAACAGATCTGAAGATTTTCCTTTGGATCCTGGTTATGTTCTTTGGG